TATATATATATATATATATATATATATATATATATATATATTCAAACTCACATGCAATATACTACAGTCGCATTTATACTATATTAAAAAAAATAAAAAATTTACATATAAAATTCAATTTTATAATATGTGTATTGTCTCTAAATATTTTCGATTCATGGGCATTTTGTAATTATACTCCATGTCAGGTCTACATTTGGAAAAAATAATAATAAATTCTATAACGTTAAAAAAAAAAAAGAAAAAAAAACAGAACGGGTGGATAGTCCACCACTTATGTCACATCAACACGGAAATTTAATGCTTTTATTTCAGACCATCGCATTCATACGTCATGTCGTTTACAATTCATTAAATGATGGTTACCATCGGTAATTGGGCCGATTATGTTATGTTATTGGATATTCGGCTATTGGGCCGGGCTCGGTATCCATCTAACCATTCCGGAGACCCAAATGAATAATTTAACATGAAAAAGAAATACTATAAATATAGCATAGTAAAATCAAATATTATAATAACATTAACATGTAATTACAAATGTAATAATGTAGAACAATATGTTATATGCTCGTATTAACCATTATTTTAATTTACTTCAACTGATATATAAGTAAATGTTATTTGCATAAATTAATTATTATTGTCAGGATAGAAAGATAATTGCAATCCATAAGAGAGTCATTTGAGACTTCAAGACTTTATTTTAGTAATTTGTAGTTCAAAGCGAACAAAATTAAACCAAATAAATTTAAAAGGTTACAAATTCTCTATGACTTGCGGTTTAATTTGAGTTTGTTTGAAGTGGGTAAACTACAATTTAAAGATTGCTTTTGAGATATAATCAAATCCTACAAGTCAAATTGAAACTTTTAGAACTATAGGAATCAAATAGGAACTAAACTCGAACAATGAAAACTAAATTGAAACTTTAAAAATCATGAAAACTAAATTGAAATTTTTAATAGGATGAAAACTAAACTGAAACTTTGTCTAAACTATAGAGATCAAATTTGTGATTTTTATAAGTTAAAAAGGTGTTGTGTTTGTTCATAAGGATTCAAACTATTAATGATTATAAACTCATGATTTATCCAACCATTGCTGAGAAATGTAAAAGTATAGCAATATAATGAGAATGAAATAATAATAATAATAAGCAACATTGGGCTATTCCACATCATCATTAAAATTCACGCAATTTGTTGCTTCCCAGCCCAGCACAAGAGCCAGACATAAAAGATCAAATTTAAGATAAAGTGATAATAAAAAAAATTAAAATAGAACAGGAAAAAGACAAAATAACAATCATGGGTTTGAATTTCATATGGTTGAATTTAAAAAAAAAAAAATTGAAGAGTTTTTCGCTTTACCAATCTTCCCAATCAATAATCCTCATTCCAAATCCTCCAATGCGGTTTAAATCTTATTTTTTTTATGTCAATTTGACATTATTATTCTTATATTGATCAATAAACTTATAAAATGTCTAGTTTGATAATTGACAATACATTGATGCTCTCCGTTAGTAACTTTTTTATTTTCTCAACAAAAATAAGATAAAGATGCAAATGAAAAGTAAAAAGTGAAAAGAGATTCTCTCTTAAAAAAACACGATTCAGAACTTTAATACTCTAATAAATATCTATTATTTAACAACATATATACATATATAAGAGTTCGAATTTTCATTGTTATAAGTTGAGTGGTAAAATATATTATTTTTTTTAGTTTAAATTAAAATAAAATAAACTTAAAACTTTTAAAGATTAAATAAACCAGGGAAATTGTATTTACATGGGATCTACGGCGAGTAGTTTGTTAATTATAAAGCCCAAGATTAAGATTATATTTGAATTGGTATGATCAGAAACAGAACTCCATGGATCCATAATAAAGAAGCTCCTCAATCATCTGCTCGATATGATCATCCTCCAATACCTTCAGTTCCCCACACTCACTTTCCCTTTTCACATTCCTCCCCGCCGCATACGGCGGCTGCTCCTCCATCACCACCACCGGCGCCGGCGCCGGCGCCGCCAGGTGCTCTCTTCTGAATCCCCTTGGGCCTTGGCTACCGATCTGCAGAGAAGCCACGTAGCACCGATGCAATTTCGCCGTTAAATTCGCCGACAGAAGCTTACAACACTGAACTCCGTTTGGATTGTACGCAAAATTCGTCCTCGCTTTTGGCCCACACATCAATCTCGCCGCCTCGTCGTACGCCCTCGCCGCGTCCTCCGCCGTCTCAAATGTCCCCAGCCAAATCCTCGTCTTCCTGCATAAACAGAGCACAGCCCACTTTTAGTTCAATGGCGGAAACAAAAAAACCATCATAAGACCTTCGAAATCGAGAAGAAATGGGAGACCCACAATAATGGATGCCGAATCTCAGACACCCAAGAGCCCCAATGCCGCTGCCGTACGCCACGGTAGCGCTTTTGCGGCCTGGCCATGGCTATGGCATAACTGGTTTTTTGACCCCCACAAGGTGTTTGTGAAAATGCCGCAGAGAAAAACAGAGCACAAATTCGTAGTTTCTCAGAAGGGAAGCAAATGGGTGTTTTATATTTACTCGTTGCTGACAAAGACGGCAATCGCGGAGCCATTTTTGTTGAGGCCTTTCTGGCAAGCAATTTGATATCTAGTGGGTCTCACGAGTGTGTTTAAATTAAATTAAGTCCTTTTTTTTGCCCTTATTTTTGTCCAATAGCCTACCAGTTGGCTGGGCGTATGGCTCTGCTGATTTCTGATACAACAAGTAAGTTGACGTTTGAAACTCATAAAAAAAATAAAAAAATAAAAAGAAAAAAAAGATCAGTTCACATGTCATAAACTTGTAATATAATATAAAATGTGAATATTTTTCGTCAATTTGGGTGTCAAAAGTGTTGGGAGAATGTTGAATTTAATCAGCGGATGATCCAAAAACTTATGTTAGGACACAAATACGTCTAACTATAATTAGAATAGATGCAAGATGAATATCAATGGACTAAATACCAATTTGTGTCCAATTAAATATAATATATAGTATATACACAAATTCAAGGGGCAGTGCTCGTTTTGTAGAGTATCTATCTTTGGTCAAAATATTTGTATACGTTGTTGACCTAAATGAAATTTTGAAAAAAATGGTTAATAGTTGGTTTGGGATATCTCCGAAATTCTGCCTAATCAAAATTTTCATGTTAGTAATAAAAAAGGTAATTGAGAATTTAAAAATATACTACATATACCTGCATAAAGTTATATTTCTATTAAAAAAAATAAAATTAAAATATGATCATTTAGAATATTTTCAAAATTATATGAACTAAATATTTAAATTTAGAGATCAAATAGTATGGTGATCAAAATCCAGTGACTAAATAGGTAATGTATCAAAAACACTTTTGTGCCACTATGTGTTTGTATGATTTATGTGAATATTACCTTTATTCATACAAATCATGAGAAGATCATCCTCTTGCGGCCAAGCTCTAATAATTAATAAATCCAACGATCCAAATCTTTGATCAAATCTTTATCCTAATCAATTGCTTCACATCAATCACATCTCAATTTTTTTCATTGGATTGTATAATGATTTAAGTCACGTCCATGTTTTAGTTGTTATTATTTTTTAATATCGGTAACTTCAAGCAATAGTGTGTTGAAGGGATCATTCTATGCAATTACGTCTCATGAAAAATAAAAATTATTTCGATTGAATTATAAGTTTGATACTTAAATTTTAAGAGTTAAGTCTAATTGTTAGATTTTGGTGTGTGGGGCAGACATCTCTGACACCTGGCAATTTGCACCTCCACCTGTCGGATTGTCTCCCCCTACAATAGGTCGTGGGCTGCAGCTTGCAATGTGCATTCCGTACAACTCCAATAGTAGCATGTCCGTACGACTCCACAACGTATGCTCCTAATTGTTCGTGGTTCCTGTGCCCAACTGTCTGACATATCGTCTGTGTTGGACATGTCGTCTGTTTGAATTTTTCCCTCAACAAATATAAAATTGAAAGTTTAGAAGCCTAAGAATACTTTTCGAAGTTTAGAGCTCGCATGGTGGTAGACTTTACTTTACTTTACTTTTTTAAATTTTAATAATAATTTTTTATTTTTTTAAATAAAGAATTTGGGATTGGAATGATTTTGAATAAATAATCAACAAACATTATTTATCATTCATAGATACAAAAAAAAGTAAAAAAGTTGTCATTAGAATACCACTTGATGTTAAAACAATATTTAATATTTAAAACTTTTGTCTTTCTAAATACACCAATAATTTAGATGGCAATTAAGAAATTCACTCTTTTTTCATAATGTCTAGTATATTGCCAAAAGCTTTCCTTTCAACTAGCATAATGTGGTGAATGGAAAATATAATACACGTTGTATTGTGGAAGGTGAAAGCGTCACATGTCACATGTCACATCGTCAGAATAGGAAGATGGAAGACTTCGAATCTACCATCTGAAGATGTCATCAGGTCGAATAAGAGGGATTTCGGGCGCACCAGCTATGTCTAGCCTACATTCTAGTCCAATGGATCGATGGGTCTCCATGCCGTGATCTCATCAATGCAAGCAAAGTAAGGAGGAGGCAATTAACACTGCCACCTATCAAAGAAATGGGTAAAACTCATTTGAAGGTAAGTGAATCTTAGTAGAAAAATACCTTTATTCTTTTTCTAGCCTCTGTTGATTTAAGTATTAGAGTATTCATCCTTTGACCTGGAGGTCCCTTAACGCTCCGAAGAGTATTCCGATAATCGTTTCGAAACAGGTTTGATAAATAATTTTGTATTATTAGTATCTAGTAGGTAGATAAGAAAAACCTACACGATTCTATCTATTGTAATGAATAATAATTGTTTACCAGTCAAAGAAAATGACATGACATGGCATAATTATTGATATAGATACGTATAAATAGACAGTTTTTCAAATGGGTCCCACATGAATCACGTGTCCTATCTCTTAGATTAATTTAATTTGTTATAGAAATGTGTGTGAATTAAATTTATATAATATATGATATGATGTAGAAAAATGTAGTTGCTTCGTACAGCGTCACATGCAAAACACTGAATTATAATTCATAGAATGGAACAGAAGGGTTAGAATTTATGGTGAATTTAAGCCCAAGTTGGTATTTTCCCTACCAAACACGACAAGAAATTTAAAATTAAAGCAAATTATTCCAAGAGAAAAATAAATTACATTTAACAACTTAGATTAAAATACTAGTTTACTTTAAAAATTTTCATTTTAATCTCTATATTTTTAGTTTTCGTTCATTTTAGTCCTATACTTTAAAAATATTTATTATTTTTTTTAGTACAACATATGGAATAGAGGATTCAAACTCACAACAACCTCTTGTTTTTTTAAAGTAATATTCGCTTTAGTATAAAGTAATATTTATCTTTTAATAAATATATTAATTGTAATATCGGGTTGAAATTGTGATTGAAAAAAAAAGATTAATAATAAAATTAAAAGAGTATTTTTTTTAAAGCAAAAAAAGACCAAAAATAACCCTTTAAAAGTATTGGAACCGAAGTAGTTTTGTAACCTACTTCCTACTTATTTCCTCCCAAAGTTCAAAACTCTCTCTTCTCGAGCAAGCCGGCTGTCTTTGACTTATTTAAAAAAGTACTTTTAAATCAATTTTTTGCTTCCCAAATTTTCATATTTCCTCCGATTAAAATTTTATTTTCATCTCTAGATATTTGTTTTTCTTATTAAAGTTTAATTAAGTCTCTCATATTTTAACTTTTTTTTTACTATATCATTTTTTTGGTAAATGTTAGAATTGGTTGAATTTATCCTCTAAATTTCGATTAACTAGTAAAGACATGTTTGAGAGTGATTTTATCATGACTAGAATCATTTGTACTCGTTCAAAAATCATTTCCATTTTAAAATAGAATGTTTGGCAATGATTTATAAGTGATTTTGAATTTTCCAAAATCATTTTAAATAATTTCTGGTCCATCACTCCTCCAAGTAATTTTTGGACAAAAACATTAATATATGATAAGAAATTTTGGTCATTTTGGTTAAATGATTGTGATCATCCTTAATATTGGGAAGCCAAAGCAAGATGTGAAAAGCACCATTCTATTTCTCATTTAATATGAAATTGTTATACAAGAATTTTACTTATAAAGCCCTTAATAATCAATGATTTTAATGTTAGATTCTAGGTTATTAAAAGTGTATTTATTTTCTTAATTATTAGGGTTTAAAAGTACCCGTATACATCAAAATATACCACTTTATATTGTTTCGAATGAAAACTTTTAAATGAATCATGAATACTTTTAGTTCCTATTTAAAATGATAAACTACCAGAATAAAAGTCAGTTTTTCGGTGACATACTGTTACCAAAATTAGCTGCAATATATATTTTTTTTCGAAAAATCAAAGCGATTATGGTTACATAAACACTTCAATCATGGTTTAGTTTCTTTACGTCATCTAGAAAATATTATAAAAGGTTATGTGAATGTAATTCTCTTTTTTTTTTTTTTTTGAATACAACATGATGTGGAGGGGATTCGAACTCACAACCACTTGGTTGGAGGTATATGCCAATTACCGCTGAGCTATGCTCACTTTGGCACGTGAATGTAATTCTATTGTGTCAATTCAAATGCAAATGCTTATCATGTCATTAATTTGTTATTGAATAAGATATTTTAATATAGATTTATTGAAGATGGCATAAGTAAATTTGAAAAAGAAAATAATGAATGGGCTGGTGCATTAACTAATGGCCCATGAGCTTGGTCCAATTTACTTTCAAGAGAGGTGTAGATGGGCCTATTCCAGGCCCATTTTAATCTCGATTCCCATTTTCAGCGGAGCGTATAAAATTTGTTCGCCGTCTCTCCTTCTTCCTCGAGTTAGGGTTTTCTTGGACCCGTCTGCTTCCGAGCTCGCCGTCGCCGCCGATCACCGGGACTCGAAAATGGTACGTATTGCTATTCGACTCTCTGAACTTCCATTTTCCCCTCAACGTAATGCCGTTCATCGTTCTCCGCGGCATGGATGATCGAAATTGTGCGAGCTTGTGATTTGATTTGCTCTTTCCATCCGCAGCCGTCTCACAAGACTTTCAGAATCAAGAAGAAGCTCGCGAAGAAGATGAGGCAGAACAGGCCGATCCCGCACTGGATCCGCCTGAGAACCGACAATACGATCAGGTCTTTAGCCTACTACTCCATTGTAATCTCTTTCTCTCTCGCTCCGATTTGAGTCTTAAATTCTGACGTTCTACTTTCGAATAATGTGTTTCAGATACAACGCGAAGCGCAGGCACTGGCGTCGCACCAAACTAGGGTTCTGAGGTGTTTTTTGTTTAATACTTCAATGTTTATTTACTTTGAATTTGTTGAGATTGAGAATTTCTTGAGAACCTAGTTTTGATATTTGCGCTACTGAAATTGAGTTCATCTGACATTTTTGTTAAATCATCTCTGCACCCAAAATTTTAAGTGCTTCGTGAAATCTAAATTCATACCTCTATGGCATTTGCGTCTATTTTTCAACGATTTAAATGATATCAGTAGATGTTCTTTAGAAAAATATAGTTGAAACTTTGGGTTATAAATTAAGAAATTTATAAAATTATTTAATCAGTATCTACTTTAACTGCTTAATTAAGTTATGATCCTTAACATCAATATGAATCTCTTTCATGCTTCATGCTTGGAACAAGAATTTGTAAAATTTGATTCATAAAATTGTGTGGTTCAACTATACAATATATGATCTAATCTAAGTTTCAAATTAACGATTCATAATAATACACAGCTACAGCCATAGCCATATAGGTTTTGTGAGAACATTCTTTGGGTATACCCATTTGTCCAGTACTTCAACTACAATTTGCAGTAGCCATCGATCTAGACTCTCGATCTTCTGTCGATTTCCGTAGGGGATGTCGTAGTCGTTGTCTTGTTCTAGACTTTCTATGCTTCTTTTCCTCAAGAAAGAGGGTAAAGGCAGAGAACTCTGGTGAACTTGGCGATGGTGAGGCGATAGATGATGAATGACGTTCTATGCCTTCTTTTCCTCAAGAAATAGGGTAAAGGCAGAGAACTTGGTGATGGCGAGGCGATAGATGATGAGGCGCCAGCGTAGAATATTTGCTCATTCTTCGTTTTGGTGATCCCTTCACTGTATTTATGAATCTTAACTTTGCCCCTCCTGTTCAGACTACGTCTGTGATGTGTCTTCTTAGAACAATCTCGAGCACGAGGTAGCGGTTTCAAGGCAATGTCCATGACAGCAGGATGAAGTAAACAATGGTAATTCGATATCGGAATTGGTATGATTGCAGAGGGGGCTTTATAAGATAGGAAGAACCAGGGACTGGAATTGGAACAGGAATCGGCTTTTGTTGTCAAGGAAGGAGTTGGAACTCACAACTCTATCTCTAAAGCAATTTTCAAATAACAACTTTATCTTTTGTTTTTTAAATTTGTATATATAGTTATGTCATGTATTTTTGGCGATTTTTTATTTTCAAATTTTCTTTATTATTAAAGAATTTTCAAAGTAACGATAAGTCTTGTTTTAAAAAAAAAATTAAAATACTTTTTTATGAAAGTTTTATTATCTTTCATAAGACATTTTTATAATTGGAAAAGTAAGTAAAATATCAGATAAGATAATTCAAATTTGAATCTGTTTTGAAAGGTCGATTATTGACCTACATCTATTACAATTGTATGTACCTATTTTATTATTGTGTTAAATAATTTTAAAATTTAAATAATAGTAATTATGAAAATTGATATGTATGTAAATAAGAAGCATGATGGTTTGGTTAGCTATAGTTGAGGCCTTGCTTGCACATTAATGAATAAAGATATATAATATGATACTATATAGTTTCTTAGCTACAAATTAAATTGATAAATTGTTGCTATGCCACTGCCCTTCTTCCCTAAATTATCAACAATTGATGACCTGAAAAAAGAACGAACGTGTGAGCGTGAGTGAGGCCAACGAGAGCGAAGGCCAGTCTATGAATTTCACTTTTTCACCCCTCACTTTATGTTAAAAACTGGTTTCTTAAGCAAAATTTTTCTATTTATTTATTTATTACTTAAAAAAATGCTGACGATTATCCCATAATCTGAAGAAGGTTGGCACAAGGCTTCTTAATTTATCGTATCTATCTAGCTAGTACAGTTCGTTCGAGCAAACATGGGCCATGAGCCCATTCTTGCCTTTGGCCCAATAGCTCGTATAGGACTTCTTGGGCTTCAGTGGCCCACAATTCATTTGGATGTACATTCCCACTACAGTTTTGTCAACAAATCCCTAATCTAAATTCTTTTTTTTTTAATTAAAATAACTTTTCTTGTTATATTCCAAAGAAAAAAAAACAGTACAAAGARATTAGACTCTCGGATGAGACTAAACAGCCATTCCGATGTGCCCTTAACCTATCTTACTTAATTTAGACCGAAAACCTATTCATAACCTACGCCTTCTACTAGTATATTACCATGGAGAGACTAAGCTCTATTTCAAATATTGAACTCTCTTTCCCCTGCTGTTAAGTAAGGATTAGTCTTACTATATTAAAAAATTGTCCCAAGCCAGGTTCCTGGATCCACTACATGGCTAGAATTAGAGAAAGATTGAGAAAGAAACCTCAACCCACCTTGTTCAGATATCGAACTTCACGGCTAGTTTTTTCAATTCTATAATTTCCTATCCTTACTATCTATTTGAATTCTATAATTTCCTATCCTTACTATCTATTTGACGTCAAGAAAATTCAAGAAATAATTTAAAATTCGAGAAATGATTTTGAGTTCTATTTGGAATGATGTGATTTTAAATGAATTAAATTAAACTTTTTTGTTTGGATGTTCACCGAAATTAAAATAAGAATTTTACTAATTTAGAATTTTAGTTTAAATTTATTAATTAAAATATAACAAAGTTAAATAGATAATTTATTTGAAATTCTATAAAATCTTAAACCATCAGGTACCAAACACTAGAATTCATTTGAAATCGATCAGAATTTGTGGTACCAAAACAGAGCATAAAGAAATGTTTCAAAATTTACACACTATTTTAGATACAACATAAAGTATTTTTATTTCTGGTTATTGTTTTTAGTTTTCAATTCCTTAGATATTATTTTTATTATAAATATAGTCTAACATAAAAGTTTTAAATATTTAATTTAAAAGTTAAATTATATCTTTTTTTTTTCAAAATATTAAATAGAAAACGATAAAAAAAATGAAGAAAAAATATATTATCAAATGGACTTTTAACTGTCAAAAGAATGTGATAATTTCATAAAAGAAAATGGAGAAGTTGATATTTTATTATTAGATCCGGAACTCTTGAGAACATGATGAAAAATGGGTCAACTCTCTTCTTTTCAAACGAAATAAAATCATTTGAAGTTTGAAATTTTAATTGTTTCTTCATGTTTTATTTTATTTTAAATTTAAACTTCTTAAAATCTGACTATTTTATGCTGAAAAAGTTTTTAGAAAAAAATGGGACTAACATATACAAAAATTGCACCAAATATATCATGGTTTGAAGTTATTATTATTATTACTTTAACAAAAAATTTGTTTATTAAACTATAAAAGAGGTTATTACCCCTTAGCAAAATTTAATATTTGATGTTTTAATTTAGTTACTTACATTTTAAACATTTTTTAATTATATGATTTACAAATAAGTCCGGCGGTTTCATAAAAAACATTAGTTTTTTCCTTTTCTCTTTTTTTTTTTTAATTTTTTTTTCTTTTTGGAGTATAAAACAAGAGATGAAATGTATAAGAATGATGTGATTTTTCTTTAATTGAGTAATTAATTCAAATGATTTAAATATTAAAATATTAATTGCAAATATTCATTTCGTCATAAATGTTTTGGTGCGGTACCCGTGACCAACAGAGTTACATTACAGTGGTGGGATACAAAAGACTGTAGAGAATAACAATAAAATATGTTTTTATTGTTTTATTTATTAAAAGAATCTTAAATACAAAAAAAAAATCTCAAATACTTTTTCACCACTATTTATGAGAAATGTTTAGATTATGAAAACAACATATTTAATTTTTATGTTTCCGTATCAATTTGAAATTTATGCAAAATTATATTAACAATAAAATTCTAACAAATATATTTCATGTTATAGATTAATTTTATTATTGTTAACACTAAAACATGTAAAAACATAAATATTTATTAAATTATATAATATGTACAAAACTATATAAATTTGTAATCTATTTATACAAAATTCATAACATTTTTTGTTTAATTAAATATTTAGCATAGGTGTCACTAATTTACAAATATATTACTAAACACCGTCGCATAATTTTTTAAACTGAGATTCACCAAATCTACTACAAAACACATTTTTATTTTATTGAATCCCTTGCTTTCAATCACCGGTAAATCTCACCCTTTATAACGCAACTCAAATTATATGGGTTTGTTTGAGTTGATAGAGTGTTCTGAACACTCCAAACCGAGGCGGCCAAGTAAATTAGATTTGTCCACAAATTGAAGTCGAGAAGGACATCTCCAACCTCATCTACTCTAATATCTTATCTACTAATTTTATTCCACGTGTGATTTAAATCCACTACATGCCAAACATACGTACTATACTACTAATATAATTCATTAAAATCTCTCCGAAACAAGGGCTAATTAAACATAGTCGAGGGTTGATTAATATTTTGAAGTACAAAAAAAAGGTAATTATGGAATTTAAATAATTGAAACTTAATTTTAATGCATATTTTGTTTCCTTCCACAGAAAATCAACCCATTGACTCGCTCGCAAATCACTGGGGGTGCAAAAGTGGAAATATTTAACAATAAAAATTAAAAAAGAATTATTTATTTATTTATTATTTTGGGAAGGGAATTAAAATTACGTGGCTTCTTATTGGGCTTGCCCAATCGTGACGCCCGATCCCTAAAAGGGAACTACTGGCCTAACGATTTTTCAATACGACAGCCTGACATGTGTTTCCTCCCAACCCGACACGTGGCAGCCCACTATTGGTACACCTCTGTTATCCAGGACCCTGCGTCGGTTAGATCGGATGTAATGCGATCGAAAACTTTATAAACTTTCATCAATTTTTGACCTAAATTGATCACTCCGTTTGATCGGTTTTAGTTATATTTATTCTTTCGTTAGTTTTGTCAATTTATTGCCTTTATGAGAAATTTCGTTTATCGATCTTGTTTTTTTTTTACAAATAATTTTAAATGATTGTGATTGATCTTATTGTTGCAAGATTTGAACTCGAATCTAATGTAGAATGCACTTATAAACACCGACACGTACAATAGATCTTCACACATATTTGCACACCAATGTAGTATTAAACTCAAATGATTAAGTCGAACGATGAAAAAGAGTAGGGTTGTAAAAACGTAGCTCACGTTTCAGGTCTCTCATTTTATTTATAGAGGGAGTCTTTTAAGTTGACTTGAATGCATCGGTCCGACATCAGTTTTGCCCACCAATGAAAGGAGATCGGTCTCAATATGAGTGCAAAATCATGGTAGAATAAGTGATTTTGAAAATAGTGATTTAAGTATAATTGATTGTTTTGTCCAAGTGAACATAGCTTAACATATATCTCCAATCAAGAGGTTGTGAGTTCGAGCTCTCACCCTTACATATTGTACTAAAAAAAAGTATAATTGATTTTCCAAAATGAAATAGTACCTTAAAAATCAATCTAAAGTGATTTTAGATCGCAAAAGTCACTCTCCTTATACTATCATGCCTGAACATACCATTAAACTTTTGTAAAATGAATTTTTTAATCTGTCAAACATGATAAATGGAGACAAAATTATTTTGACAATGACAAAAATAATTTTAGTTATGCCAAAATCACTCCAAACCATACCGTCGAAAAATGACTGACCAATCCAGTCTATATAAATTTTAATGATTTTATTGGTTTAATGTGATTCAGACTTCTAAAAAATGACAATTACATAAATGATAAAATAAAAATATGTATTTGTAAACGTAACAACAGGCTTATATAACGCGGAGGAAGGAAAAGAAATCAAATTTGTAACATTTTAAAAAGGATTAAAACACATATAATATGTTTGATGTCAAATGTAATTTCCTCTACATAATTTGATTAAAAAAAACTGACCCGCTTACCAACATCTCCGTAGGTCTTGGGGGCAGGGCGCTGCCCACACTCATAAATAAATAAAACTTAGATATTTTTTTATATCTGTCTTAACTATTTCCAAAAATTTCACAACTTTAAAAAATTTTAAATAATATTTTAAAGCTTGGTAAGTATTATTTTGAATCTCAAACATCTTGACAACCATTCATATTTATTACTTATTATTTTTTTTAAAGTTTTAAAAATTATTAGGAAAAAAAGAAAACTAGTTTTTTTTATAGCTCATTATTGCTTCTATTTTTTTTTTAAATTTAAACATTTTGCAACTAACTATATTTTTATTTCTCATTTTCTTAGAATCTTAATAAAATTGTATACAAATTTTGAAAACAACAAGAAATAAATTTCTTCTTTCTTGTTTTCATTTTCCAACAAAAACAAGAAACAAAAATGTCACCAACGACCCATTTATTTGTTACTAATTCTTATTTCCAGTGAAATTAAATTTCTTTTTTTTTCAATTAAAAAATAAAAATCATTATAAGTGAAATTATATTTTATTTATTAAAAAATACGAAACAAGAAACAAAAAATTTAAAGAGGATCCTCTTGACCGGTAAGGATCTATCTCTATCCTGATCAATATTAAAAAATCGATAGTTCATTTTTATTTTAGGAACGGTATAGTTTTGTATTTTTTTATCTCAGTTTTCAACCATTTAATTACGATCAAAATTTAAAAAAAAAAGGTTTTTACGAGATGGTAAGTATTTTCCTTTTATAAAAAAAAGGAAGGAAGAGGAAGGTCAAAAGAGGAATAGCAATGGTTAGGTCTGGAATATTGGTGAAGGCCGTATGTATGAGGAGTGGAAGCTGTCATTTTAATATCTACGGTCCCACATATCCAAGACCAACAGGTAATTTAAATTAAAATAGAAAAAAAAAAGAAAAAAGAAAAAAGAGTGGGAG